CTACAGTAGACAACGATCATACCTCAGTAACTTCAGGGGCGCAATCATTTTGCAGGTACTTTGTCCTAGGATTCCTTTTGGTCATCTTGTCGGGTGTTTACTTAGGGATCACAATGCCTTGTGTTCACTTGTGGATCACAACGCCTTGTGTTTACTTGGGGATCACGACGCCTTTTCCGTAAAACCCATTTTGAACCCATCCCTTGATGGCACACTGGATGGGCCACGCGCATTCTTCCTGGTGGTGGCTGCGCCTATTTTGTTCCCGTCCTTCTCCAGATGCTGCCTCTTGGTTATCAGTACTTGCCCTCATGCATACAGGTATCAGGATGATTCACTGCGTTCACTACTTGTTCTCTTCCTGCTGGTGGCAGTCAGCCGGACGTTTCACAATCACACGCCCCCTTCGTGGCATCACAGGTGTATCATCGTCATGCACTCCCCGCATGTCACATCACGTGAAGCACACATGCTCACCTTCTTTTCGGTCTCGTACTATCCGCAAAGCACAACACCATGTCTTGCCACATGGCCATCTTTTCAGCTCTCGGTTTGCTCTTCCTCTCTTTCCGCATAGCACAACAACATGTGCTGCCATATGGCCAGCTTTTCAGCTCTCGGGTTGCTCTTTCTCTCTTTTTCTTGTTTTCTTTGTGGTGGATGAAGGGACGGGGTGGGATAGGGATGGGAAATCTTATTTTATTAGTGGCCATGATTGGAGGTGTAGTACTTACCATGCATACGACAACTCAAGTGGGAAGACAACGTTTTTCAACAAGATATGACAGACTTTCAAAAGACTATCACAGAAAAACGCCAATAGAGAACCACATGTGGGATGTACTTTGACTTCATACAGGTGCTGCATGGCTGTCATCAGCTCATGTCGTGAGATGTCGGGTTAAGTCCTGTAACGAGCCCAACTTTCATTTTGTGTTAGTAGGAAATCGCATGGGATGGAATCGGATAGGATTGGGATGCGATGGGATAGGGATAGGATAGGGAAGGGACGGGATGGAATAGGATGGGATGGGACCGGACAGAGATAGGAAGGGATAGATCATAGATCTGATTGCTAACGTCCCTCTCACAGCCTAACTAGACGTAGTACTACTTTGACGCAGCTATTACGCGGTGTGCCCCAACCTTCTCACGCAGCGTTGGTTGCAATAGTGCGGTAGTCCACCGCGCTGCTTTGCCCAAAATGGTTTTAGGCGCGCAGTTCACAGTAGCGCTTTTTCAAATTGGCGGGAAGAATTTTCGAATTTGCCACGGCGCCAGTCAATCCGCCGAATGGAAGTTCTACTGCGTGCGGAAGTTCACGAACTTCGCAATCCCGCCCACTCATATTAGCACCCGCGTGCATCACTTGCATCATTTTCATTTTCACTTGGTATAAGTGGCGCTCACTGCAGCACCACATCGCAACCAAGAGCACACTCTGCACGGTAAAGCCGTCTTCTCTTTCTGCCACACAGTGATCTTCCAGTAGTGGTCACAACAGCAACCAAGCTCTCTCTCTCTCTCTCTCTC